CTGTGACTGAGAGGATTGTCAGAGTGGATATGTCAGAGATGTCAAGAAAGAATAAATCTGTGGACTCCCTAGACTATAACAAAACCATTTTTGAAATTAGTATGGAGACTCCTCAACACCAAAACTGGAAATTCCATTTGGCCCAACTATTCCCCATTTAGGTATCTTCCCCAAAGTGTTAAAAACATCATGTTGCAGTGGTACATGCAAATCCATGTTTATAGCAGCATGATTGATAATAGCTAGATATTGGAAACTGGGTATATGTCCATCGACAGATGAATGGATAAAGACTATGTGGTATTTATATATAATGGAGTACTGCTCTGCCACAAAGAAGATAAACTTGAGGTACCTGTAGAAAAATGGATGCATCTTGAGACTATAGTGGTAAGGGAAACATACAAGTAGACATAAAAACTTAAATATTACATATTTTAGGGCCAGGAATTTAGCTCAGTGGCATCACACCTGCCTCACAAGGGCAAGCTCCTGAGTTTGATCCCCAGTACTGGAAAATAAAAAGTCATGTTTCCTTTATATAAAAAACCCAAATTATAAATAAAGAGAAAAATAAGATACAGATAATAGGGCAGAAGCAGATAGATGATTTGCATCTACAAACAGGAAGAGGACCGAGAGATGGAGGAGAGGTGACAGGGAGCAGAAGGGTTGAAAAGACAAACTAAGGTATGTTTTATACATGTTCTGACTCCCTATGCAGAATGTGGTAATTGTGTGCTGCAAATCATCTCATGAAAAATGAAAACTGAAAACAGAATGAAATCATCAGGAAGTTTTTCTTTCTAATTTAACTTGAATAAGGAGGTAACATTTTTATTTGACCAGCTCTGTCTGATTATTTAAGAGGCCCTGTCATGTGCAAGAGACCCAAATATCTATGGATGCAAAACTTACAAAACTGTTTTAGAAAGTAGGAGGAACTACCTATGTATAAAGTGGTACAAATACAATGCAACACTTCCTTTCCTGGGTTGCAAATACCCATCATGCTTCAAAAGGCTGTGGTTCTGTTTCTCAGAGTTAACTCATGAACCCACATCCCTTAAATACCTACAGTGGAAAACACAGAGTCTGGACTTGAAAAGGCGCAAGAGTACCTCTGCACTGTGGACAACCCAGAGTTGTACTGGATGAGACGGATAAACTGGGGAAGCCATCGAATGAGTACTTGTGCCAGAAACAAGGGTGGGCACCTGCACAGAACACAGAAACACCTGCAGAGGTGCAAGCGCACCCCGAATTCCTCCTGCTTTTCTCACTGCGCATATTCCGTGTCTTGTAACTTATTTTATACTCTCTAGCTTAAGTTTCTTTCTGAAGAAAGGTTTCTGACTCAGATGAATTAGTAGATCCCTTTGGTTTCACCCACGTTTATTTTAAAGTCCCATCTGGTTTCTCACCTTAGATGACAAATTAGCATCTCCTCTACTAGTGACCTACAGAGATTTTAGAGACACATTCCACTTTTGTTCATTTCTCTTTTGTTCATTGACCCCAAGATTTTAAATTATACATCATGGGAATTTTCAAGTAAACCCACAATATAAAAATCAGTATAATGAAGCTCCATCTTCCCATCACTCAAGCCCAACAATCATCAACAACATTCTACTATTCTTGTCTTATCCATCCCCTCTTCTACTTCCCAGGACTGTGGTGTATTTACGATATAATTTTGAGCACCATAGTAGCTCACTTGTGAATATTACAATGCATGTCATGATCAATGAGAACTTTTCCCTTTTTAAATATCTCCTTCACACCTCAGCCTATTGATCTAAACCCGTGTTACAAAGGTAGAGAACTATCGAAGCCTATTTTCAGCTCACAAATCACTTCTTCTGATCCATTATATTTTTTCCTCATTGACTTTATTGGTACATTGTAGGGATACAGTACAGTTACATTCATTGTTGGGATCTTGTACCTCTGCATGACAGATCTTGGTTCTCATTTTTTCCCCTTGTCCCTGCCCTCTCTTCACTCCCTCCTCCCCTCCCCATTTACAAACACTTTATTTCCATCTTTTCATTTTCTCACATTTTTTTCTTTTCCCTTATTATTCTTCCCCTACCCATCCCACCTTCCCTACTCCTTTAACACTTTTCTTCCCATTTCCCAATGTCAGTAATCTCATTTGGATCTTATGTACTATTACAGTTTATTCACACCAGAGAAACTATGCAGTATTTACACGTGTGTGACTTACTTATCTCACTTAGGAGATACCTCAAAGAGCTGGGACTAGAGTTCCATTTGACCCAGCCATCCCTCTGCTGGGTATCTTTCCAAAAGAACTAAAACAGTCATATCACAGTGATGTATGCACACCCATGTTTATAATGGCACAGTTTGTAATAGCTAAAACTTGGAAACAGCCCATTTGCCCATCAGTTGGAAACTGGATAAAGAAGATGTGGTTTTTCTATAAAATGGAGTACTATTCAGCCATAAAGAAAGAGAAATTAGATTCATTTATAAGAAAATGGATACATATTGAGGACCCATTACATTTAATCTCCATCCTCCCTTTTATTTAAATGGATTGTTTTTCCCTAGGGACTTGATTGTATTCCTCCATATAATCCTTTTCTTGAACTGAATTTCATTCCATATTTCCCAATTAATAAAAAAAAAAATCCTTGAAGAAATCTGCCACAGATAGAGTGGGGGGCTCTAAGAAAGAATTTAATGGAATGATACCATAAATGAAGTTACTGCCCTGAAAAGCAATATGGAGGAGGAGATGAATGAATGTTTTCTTGAGTTGAGATTAGGTGAAGCAAATCTTGTCTTCACTTACAACCTGCTGCGTATATCTATGTCTTAAGAAACCCACTTTTACCTGGTGAGAATAGTAAATTTGAGGGGCTGTTTGGGGTGAAATCTCCTTTCTGCCCATGGCTCTGACCCTGGCAGGCAGTGGTGATCCGATGTGGCATAATTATGATATGGTGACAAATAACTGTGACATTTTGTCAGAAGCAAAGACGTGACTCAGACCAAGCAACTTGGCAAAAGTGAGTGCCAGCATTTGGTGACAAATGGCTGGAGTCTGACAGCATGCTTTACTGCTTGGACTTTCATCCATCACAGGGATTTTTTTTTTTTAATTACACAACACAAAACACTCAATTTTCAAAACTGGGTGACAGGAGATGGAAGGTGAGAAAAAGGCAAGTCAGAGGCAGCAACAGAGACAGAGAGCCTGACTTGCAAAACAGTGACTCACATTTTATTTTAAGAATCTCAGTTTTCACTATTGTCACACTCCATAATTCAGAAGTGCATTTTGTTGGGCCTTTGCTGAAAATTAGGAATAACAGAGGTATTTGAAGGTGACAACTGAGCTCATCTATAAATCAAAGAGTTCAGACTGGTCCCAGGAGGTTTGTTTATAAATATATATTTGTGTATATGTTCAATATGAGTGTCCAGGGGACTGTAATATTGCTTATGCCCAAAGCAGGCTGTAAAGAGTTAACCCCACAATTGTCTGGTTTTGCAAAGTGAGTCTGGCTGAAGCCCACATGGCCAGGTCAGAGTAACTCAGACCCAAATTCCATTCCCACAAATGAAACCTTCTAACTAGAAGGACAGTGTTCTAATTACAACCATATATTTTGTCCATTCTGTTCCTAATTTGAGCATGCTTTATCTTGTTCTTCATGGGCCTCCTTTACATTAATTTCGGTAGAAACTGCGTGTTGCCCACCTTTACCCCAATTGACTGGCAACAGAGGTCCTTGCCTGGGACTGTCAGGGCCTTTGGCAGTTGCACCAGCACTGGTTGTCCTGGCCCCACTTTTTCTCTCCTAGCTCTGTCTTTTAGTTTTACTTCCTAGGTCTGCATTATGTACTGGACAGAGTAATGGAACCCGACTGCAGTGGTTCTGGATTATGTGTATTTACATGTAGTATGTATATTTATATTTGTGTTGTATAAGAAAATCTGCCATGATACAATGAAATACATACAAGACTTTGAATTATCAAAAACGGGTATGTGTTTTAGGACAGCAAATTATTAACTGTCTGAATTAATCTCTCTTCACCCCATTTTTAGTTATTTACTAATACTGCAAACACATATTAATACTGATAATATAACAATCACTACTTTGGGCCCTAGGATACAACAACGAACATTTGAGAGAGAGGGGGTCCCACTTTACAGAGATTTTCATGACATAATATACAAAATAAATAAGTTTAAAATGGGATAATTATATTGTTTCTACTTGTAGAAAATCAAATAAGGTAATTTAAAAATGATAAAGAAATGGTTGAGAGTTGAGGAGTATACTTTAGATAGAATGGATAAAGATTCTCTAAAGTATAGCAGTTTTGCTTAAATTTTAATGAGAATCTTCAACCAGAAGAAGACAAGGGACAAAAGGATTTCAAGCAGAAAAAGAACATAAGGAATAGTTCCTTTAAAAGAAAAAAAAAAAAAAACAAAAACAAGGAGTGTGGAGCACCACACTGAAGGGCATTGTGGTATAGTCTCCTGCCCTACTTTCTGTCATCACAGGTTTCTGGAAACAATAGGTTAACAAAAGTGAAAGCCCTGCCCTCAACACTGTATGTTCCTTCAAGAAAAACTTTCAATGCACATGTTCAGGAGTATGAACAGAGTATGGATTTGTCAAATAACTACCCAATTGTATTTTCCCTTTTATATTTTTATTTTAATACCTTACTCTAATGTACATTTTTTAAATGTGAGGACATAGTTTTATTTCATTTTCTGTCATGTTTCCTTTTCTATCAGCATGCGTTCACAGTACAGAATGATTGCATAAATTGTTGGTAGTGGCTACCTGTATATAACAGATTTTAATTAATTTTTTTTTTCTTTCCATGAGTGTCTTGATGTTTCTTTTTTTCTTTTTCTTTTTTTTTTTTTTTTTTTTTTTTTTGTTTTTTTTTGTTTTTTTTTTTTTTTTTTTTTTTTTTTTTTTTTTTTTTTTTTACAGGGGAAATCGAGAATGCAGTCCCTGACTACCACAAATTATGCAGTCAAGTTTCCCACATTTGGGGAAAGCACAGGGGTCAACACGTCAGGAGTGCAATGGATAAACCTAATCCAGGAAAATCACCTTCGTGATCATGGTATCTCCCCTGCCAGGTAAGTTGGGTACTTTTGAGGTATACAGTACAGTTACATTCATCATTAAGGGAAATAAATAGGACACACACATGTAAATACCAAATAGTTTCTCTGGTGTGAAAAACTAAAAGTGTAAATAAAATTCAAATTGTATAATTGATAATGTGTGATAGGAAGAAAAGGGCTAAAAGAGTAGGGCAAGTGGGACGAGTAGGGGAAAGGAAGGAAAGGAAAAAAATTTTGAGAAAAGGAAAAAATGGAAACAACATCTTTGTAAATAGGGAAGAGTGGAGGGAGTGAAGGGAGAGCAGGGTATGGGAAAAAAATAAGAACCAAGATATATCAGGTAAAGGTTCAAGATCCTAATTGTATTTTAAAGACATGGAACTCAGGGCTGGGGATTTAGCTCAGTGGTTCCTCTGCCAGCCTCACAAGTGCAAGGTCCCAAGTTTAATCCCCAGTACCAAAAAATAAAAATAAAATAAAATAAAATAAACCTGGAATTTAAAGTGAAAGACACAGCACTGAATCTTTTCTTTAGAGCATTGCCATTCTGGGCATTCCTAATGTCGCATCTACTTCTGCTATGGTCAGGAGGGAATTGTTTTGCAGAATGAACCAAAGGAAGGAAACACATTATTGTGTAACTCTCTCGAGTGGATTTCTTTCAATGGTATTGCTGAGCATTTGAATTTTTTGTAGCGGTGTTACCCATTTGGACCTGAACATTAGAAAAACCACACTAATTCACTGAGACATGTTGTATAATTAGATTAGTATACAGTCTCACAAATATCGAAACAGTATCGGTATTTATAATGGTTGATAGATTGTATCAACTTGAGTAAGAAGCTCCATGGAATTGGCTCACATACTCTACATCCTAGGTTGTGGAAGACTTACTCTAGGGTGGGTTGTTGCCTGGATTGTATAAAGGGGGGATGAACAAGGACAGATTTGCTTCTGTTTCTTCAGAGGGACTCAGGACTTTGCCTTGGATGTCATCTCCTGGCTTCTGCTGCAGACTCTTCAGTCTTCTGACATAGACTCTTCCGCCTTCTGTGGAAGATCCATCGGCCTCCTGATACAGACTGAAGTGAGTTCCAGATCTGTGACTGAATCCTTCTGTCTCCAGTCTGTAGACCGTCTGCACTCTTCCTCATCCGACTCTGTAGGTGGCCATTGTAAGCCAATCTTGTAAATTATTATATATTTGTATATCTCCCTTTATATCTTTCTTTCTAGTAAACAATGGACTGATAACAGTATTTTTATTGAAATCATATTTTCTCTTGGCTTGTACCTGCGTCTATTTTCTGTGCTAATTTAAGCCATCCTTAACACAAACCACTTTAACATGTTTCTAAGGACCTGAAGTAAATCGTATCATTTCCTTTTTCATGTCCAATTGTTCAAAGGTCTCAAAATTTTATAGCTATAATTTTCTCAAAAAAAAAATTTTTTTTTTTTTTGGTATCTGGTATTGAACTCCGGGTCTTGTGCTTGCGAGGCAGGCGGCTGCACCACTAAGCTAATCCCCCGGCTGCACCACTAAGCTAATCCCCCCGGCCCTACTCAACTTTGATTCAAAGAAATATCCTACATATATAGTCAGTGCCAAGTCCTGCTGTAGGATGTAGTGGCTTCCCATTGAAGAAGGTGTATACTTCCTGGCCCTGTCATCGTAGAGTTTTTAATTGTGTCATGTGTATGTTCAAACAACAACAGCATTGAGATCACTAATTTAGTATGATGTGAAGTAATATTCAGATTCCTCTGAAAAACCCATCATGGCACATAGTGGAAATAGAAAAAAATCAGTGAAATTTAACCCTGTGATAGAGGGACCTTATGATAGTGGAATGATATTGAGTCTGCCAATTACTAGCTGTGTCTCCTCTGATAACATAAAAACCCACAAGAAAAGCTTGGCTTAAAACAACTACTTACTTGTTCAAGATTTTTTGAGTCAATAGTTAAGACTCTCCTTTAGCTGGAAATTCTCCTTCAGGTGTCCACCAGGGTGGCTCATGGACTTGCAGATGTAAAAGCCCAATAATCTCAACCTCTCACCTGAAAATCAAAGCAAAGCTGGAATGAGAATTATATATCATGCAACAGAAGATCTGCTGCCATGTATCGGCCAAATTTACAACCCCAACTTTATGGAAGAAGAAAATAGGTTCCACTCATTCATGGAAAGAGCTAAAAATGTGTGACCATACCCAATCACATGCTTTGGGAAAGGGATTTATTCTTTCTAAACCCTGGCAAGTTCATCAGCAAAATGGAAAGATAACACTCTTCTTGGGTTACTTATGAGACTCAGGTGATACAAGGGATGTAAAATAGTTGATGTATGCTGTAAAGTTTTTCCTTCAGAAGAAGAGGATAAGTCACTTCCTTTCCCCCTCTCATTTCTAGAGGTTTTCTTCATGTAGCTTGGAAGGACACAATGAAAAAGATGATCCTTTATGTTAAGAAGTTTAACACTTAATTAAAGAAATTGATTTTCAAATTATCCTTAACTGATAAATGTAAAACAATGTAAAGAAAAATAATTGCATGTGATATCAATGTCTTTGTGTTTATAAATTTAAATTGTAATGCATGGCTATCAACAGTTCATGACTTAATGCAACCCGATATCATCAGGGTATATCTGATTCTCAAAGTATAATCCATTCATTATTTATTAATTTATATGCATATCAAACATTTACTAGTTTTATATCTTGTGATATTTTACTACAGGCTCGTCATAAATATAGGCAAAGTTCCTAGGGCTGAAAGAAAAACAATTAATGGGGTTGTTATAAGTCAGAGACCCTTGATCTACCTTAAAGGAGGTGTTATAGACTCAATCATGTTTCTCCAAATTTCATAATTTGAAGCTTACCGTCCAGTGACTTTATTGGGAAATAAAGCACTTAATATTAAGGGTAAATAAGGTCATAAAATGAGGGTCCTAATATAATAGCTCCAGTAATCTCATAAGAGGAAACAGGGAGAAAGGACATGTGCAACAACTGTAAGAAGGTAGCCTCTGCAATCTGAGGAAGGAGATCTCAGGAGGCACCAGTCTTACAATATCCTGATCCTAGATGTACAGATTGCAGAACTGTGAAAAGAATTAAGGATGTTGTGTAAGCCACATAATCTATAGTGTTGTTATGTCAGCCCTAGCTAAATAATGCCCAAGTTGGCACATGGATTAAATATTGCTGAAATTTATTTGTGTGAAGTAAACATTTGTTTGATGATAAACTGCTAGGTAGAAGAAAGCCCCAGAGAACAGTAAAACTGGGGCTGTTTGATGAGAGTTACTTCAGTTAGGCTGCTGTGTAGGGTACTGAAGAGCTGGAATAGGGTAACAAGCTGTCAGATATACATCTGTAAGAGAATTCAGGAGCAGTGTAGACGTTATGTCTCAATAGGGTCTATGGATTTCATATTGGGAGAACAGTTGTATGATCCTGCTCAACCAGCAGAATCTTTTAGACTAATCTTTCACGAAGCTACGAAAAGATCAATATTTTCACTAATCCTTGTAAAGATTCGAGAATTCCTCTGACAACTGTGATGAAAATGTTTAACACACTTGTACCCCACTTGCATTTCTCTGTACCTTTCCTACAATCCTTATTCTCTGTTCCTGTAAAAGTTTATTGAATTTGGGCACCATGTTTGCTAAGTACAATCTCTTTATGTGCATCTAGGGATTTGATCTCTCTGCTCATATTTTTCAACTCTTTCTATTTTTGCACATGAAATTCTATCAAAATGCCCTTCATGCTTTCCTTTGCACTAAACAGTCTTATTCTCTGAGTCAGTTCAACATAACCTTTTTCCTAAGAACGTTTTTCTGATTCTCCAGAAACATATCCATGTGTTTGTTACTCTTGCTCTATTCCACACATTGTAGAGATTATATTGGGTATATGACCACACTGATGGCAACTGCTTCAGTGAGGAGCCCGATGAACTCTGTAGGTAACGCTCAACACACGGGAACACACACACACACACACAAGCACGCTCGCTTGCGCGCATGTGCACGCGTGTGTTAACACAAGTACCCTGACTTGTACTCAACATGCAAGCACACAAATGGCAGTGGAATCAAATGCCACTTCACTGTGAGATTCTTTGGGATCACATGTTTTCTCTAAATCTGTTTCCTTATTTATAGAGAGAAAGAGGTAGAAAGTGCTGAGTTATTCTCTCCAAAATCGGTGAACCTATAAATGAGATGTCATGTAACACGTTCTGTAAACCACACACACATCTAGCCCCGATCTCATCTGATGTATTTAAAATTGTGGATATTTCTATGATACACTAGTAACAGGTAAAATAATTGGAGATGTCCAAACTATCTCCTAGATCCAGATTCGTGGAAAGTGACAGATACACAAGATCCTATCTTCTTTGAGCTTCTTGTCAGCTTCAGAAGGGGACTTTCATGAGGGATGAGAGACATAATACATTCATTAGAATGCCCTCCACTGGGTTAATTATTTTCTGTCCTTTCTATTCTTACTTAATAATCTACTTAGGAAAAGCAGCTAAGAACTCAGTTCTAAGTCTGAGTGGCACATAACTCTATGACCTCAAATGGTAGGTAATTGAGAGTTACACTGTTTCAGACAGCTTGTGGAAATTACTGCTTTCCTGGCTCATCTCTTTCTGCCATCTGATATTTATGAAACTGAAGATCCCATACAACTTTCCTTAACATTTATTTTTCCCTGGAAGCTTTTTAAATTTAAAAATAACACCTTTGATTAAGCAGAACCTACAGGCTGGTACTCTGGCTGTGGTGATCATTCTGAAGCGAGTCCACTATTACGACTTAATTTTATGCACCTTTTAGGGAAAAGGGAAAGATTTTTGGAGTTGACCAACTATACTTTTATGTTGCCTTTCCTGCATCTACTTATTCTGTTACCTTTGGAAAAAATCTAAGAAACTCTGGTCTGTATTGTTCACATGTATATAATAAGGATTCTCATGCCTAATACCG